TTGCTGATATTAGACTACAACTTACTTTCCGAAGAGCCAAGGACTTACTTGTGGGCTGTCAAAAAGAATATTATCAATTTGTAAAAAAGAAAAAAACAAGAATATTATCAATATTTAGAGAAAAGTAATGACAAGGAGAGTAAATAATGAATCCCAGATGTTGACATACTGCTATCAAGCAGATTACTCATTTCAGTCCAAACTGCTAAAAATGAATGGGAAAAGAAAATCAAACCTTTTTTGGGCAGAACTGCCAACCCGAAGTAATGGACGAAGGTAATGAAAACACAAAAAAGACTTGAAAAGAAAGAGCCAGCTGAAAGTTAAAAGTTTCTGTAGTAGAACTTGTAGAAGAAGACCATGAGTCTGGAGAGATAGTAAAGTTATTCCGAAGGTTACTCTCATTACTTTTTATGTGTCAGTAAAACGACGGTACTTTTGTTTTTGGTCAGTAAGAGCACTCTCATTACTTTTTTTTGTTTTTTGTTTTTTCCAAAAAAACCTCTCATTACTTAACTTGGAATAAATTTTTCGCCCTACTACAGAGAGAAAGACTTCCATGAAACGGGATAACACTATTTTGCTAATCGAGTTTTTCTTCCTACTCTGCCATGAATATTCCAATCTCTGGAATTGAATATTAGGTGTAAAAGGAAGGAGACACTAAAAAGCAAGAGCATGTGTTGTCTCCATTGACACCTTATAAGAGCATCTACAATGAACTCCCTAAATCACCTCATTCAAAAAATTTAGGGAGGAATTGCAAAATCAGAGCTACAACCATGCTCCCTATCCACATCTTTTAAAATCTTTTTAAATTCTCTAGAATCCTAATTGAATACACCCCCTTAAATATATGGAGACTTCTAAGAGCTTCTAAATCTGAGAAGAGAAAAATAACTCTTAGTAGCTCCTAATAATTTTATGTTGCTTTATTTTAAGAATATATTCATCATTTGTTTAATACTACGTATTATTTTTTGTTACTTTTTGTATTCACTCTATTCAAAATTTGAATTAAAAGAGAATTAAAACATTTATAATCATTTTTTGGTCGCTGAATCCGATATTTTTTTAATCATTTTTTGGGTTGTGTCCAATTCTCTCTAGCTAAATTCAATATGTTGTTGTGTTTGGTCACTGATGAAGATTCGTCCCCATAGTATTTTTTTTGTTGCCAAAGATTCGGCCATAGTTGGTTTTTACTTTATTTTTTCATTAATAATTACTATCCCTTAAAAAAGTTGATTAAATAATGTTATCTTGTATTATTATATTTTGAGATAAAAATAAGATGATAGTTTGCATTCATAATTTAATTTAGATACAAAAGTCGTCAACCACATGCCCAAATACGAATTGCATTATTCTATTCTTAAATCTAGAGTATCTGGACCTCGTGTCAGCTCTTTGATCCGGTAGTGAAATTTTAGCTTTAGCCTCAATCTATTCTTAAATAAGATTGGTTTTGGACAATGACTATAACATAATTTAACCAAAGGTAAGACAGAGATCTAACAAAATAGTACAAGTTTCTTACAGCCCAAAATGATCAAATGGCAAACCTTGTATGCAGGTCATACCATGTACACACAAAAGTTAATCCCAGATCAATAGCCTACTAGAATTCTTATGTAGTAACAACAAAGGCAACATCTTCTTTGTAAGTATAACCAACCCCTCATTGTTCTTGCTTTGGCTCCCTAAGATCCGCAACGAAGGTATTGGTCAGAGCAGAGTCGCAAAGAAAAGAAGCCAGCAAAAGATGCAAAGCCTGCAACAGTTACCAAATTCAAGAGTCAATGATCATATATAACTCATCTGGATAGGCATCCAGTATAAGTCTAAATCAAAGGACTTGGAAATTCAAAACTTAACAGACACAAAGATAATTTATATGCAGCCAAGCTGATGAAGTGAAATTAACACAATATTATAGTGGAGATGAAAAAATCACTCATTCAACTATGAAGCTAAAAAGGATTTGTGTGTTACGTACAGACAAATAATACGAAAATCTCAGAGGAGACATGAAAAATTATAGTAGAAAAAAATTCAGCAGCAATTATAAATAACTCACCTCCTTCTTGCCCACATGCACAATTTGATCCTCAATGTCAGTGACAGGCACATTCAAGTCTTTAAGAACTTGCAGCTCCAATATCCGAGATATTGGCCTTACAACCAGATTGTCAGTGACTACAAACTTCGCGGGTCTCTTCAGAAATCCTTGAGCACTTAAATCCACGGAATCAGAACTGACCAGTTTGAGTTTATCTGGTTCCGAATAGAAAAGGGATCTATCAGTAGTCAAGGTATCTCTATTTAAAGTCACAGAGTAAGAATAATAATATGAGGTCTCCTCAATTCCTAAAAGACTGTTCTTATAGCAAAAACCAGGAACAAGTTTGGGATCAAGTAGCATTTGCTTGTGGTGATCTGAAATCATGTATTCCCCATCCAAATCCTGGATAGTTTCGTACAAGTGCCTGATGCATCCTTTCAAGGAACCAATCTTCATGTTTTTTACTATAAACCCAAGAGGTAGAGTTAGGAAACTGAAGAGCAAATTAACAAAATCCTCCCCTGCTTCTGCATAACAGACCATCTTCTTAGATTTGCTGACCACAAGATTCAAAGAAATCTTATCTTCTTCATCATTCATTGAGTCTCCGGACATGTGCGATTCAATATGTATTGCTTGATTAAAAATTGTACTGCTCGATTTAAGATCTTGTTTAGGCTTCAACAGGGTTTCAGTCAAAGCTGTTTTTGACACTAAGGAGCACATGAGCAAATTCAAAATCTGGAAAAGATAAACAGATCAGAAACAACCACTACAGTTTTAAACAAAACTAATAAGGCATAGCCATCACTTACCTCAACAGTTCCAATATTGATAGTCAACTCCTCCATAGCATCCACATCCACGACACGAAGCTTAGTAAATACAGAATTGGCTGTTGAACTTGGGGGGATCACTTGTAAATCATCAGTAACTGTAAACCTGGTTTGTCCTTTCACAAAGACACTTCCATCTTGAGAAGCGCGGAATGAAAGACTCCACTCCCGATTCATGCCTGCTGAACACGAATAAGCAAATAACTGTGGTGAATAGGGGTTCAAAAAGTAGCGTCTTGGCTCAGCATCGTCAAGTTTCAATTTGAGGGCATTGCACTGAGAATCGGCTGCATTGCGGGGATGCAGCAACATGTCTTTACATGTATGCATCCAAAATTCTTGATCGTCAAAATTCTCAACACTTGCATATAAGTTGTTCATGCAACCTATTGCCACAGGATCTGAATGTTTACGTGCAAGCCTGATAATTGTTCCCATGGGGATTGTCAATAAACTGAAGAGAACATCAACAAAATCATTGTTAGGCTCTATGAAGATAACTTTGTTACTCCCCTTGTCCACCAAGACCTTCAACTCAATACCGTTGGTAGATTTATCGGCCATGGACTGTAAGAAAAAGAAAAAAAAAACTTGGATCAATATCCTCTCTCTATTCAAATCCAATTAGCAAATGACAGAAACTAAACAATAGTCAAGGAAAAATGATCCAGATTCAAACTATAATCAACAACCTTGCAAATAAATTTTAAGAAAGCAGAGGTAATATTCTAAATAATCAGGCACAATTACCGATCAAGGTAGTTCACTAACTTCTGAAATGTGAAAACTGTTTTTGCGGATATGAGAGACTACGAACAACTTACTTGCCAAAGAGCCAAGGACTTACTTACTTGTGGGCTGTCAAAATAGAGAGCATTGCTTGTGGATTAAGTTTATAGAGGATGAATCTTTAAAGAAAAAAGTAAAAAAAAACAAAGGGTAAGTGGAGAAGGACATTTTAGCTTTAGCTTTTCAATTAAACCTACGTATTCAATGTATGATGCTTAACTAGGAAGAAATCTAGGGGCATTATTACTTACTTAGATTTAATTGAAAAGCTAAAGTTAGTAATGCATTATTGAAAAGCTAAAACCAGTCCCACAGTGACCTGCATAGTGCAGCTAATGAGGGTCACTGTGAGACTGGCTTTAGCTTTGAGTTGAGTGGATGGTCCCCCCATGGCCCTTTTCTTCATGGCTGGGGTGGGGCCTTGAGATCTTATATGCATCTGATCTCCATGCTGGGAGAAAAACTTGGATGACAAGGTAAGCTTTTCACGTCAGGCAAAGAAAATATAAAGACAAGGGGTAACGACAAAACACGCCTCAAAGTTTGGGTTCATTTGGGCTTTGGGTTTTAATTTCATCAATTCATTTGGCTCTGGTTTCAATTTCATCAATTTTAAAAAATTGACATCAGGTCGTTTTGGATTTGAGAAACAGCAACCATGAACGACTTGTTCTCAGGGTCGTTTTCGCGGTTCCGGAGCCAGCAGAACTCGAACGACGATCACGTGATTGAGATGTCGTCGGCGGCGTCAACCTCGACAAGTTCTTCGGAGACGTCGAATCCGTTAAGGACTAGATCAAGGAGGTCGAGCGCCTCCATCAGAACCTCCAGTCCTCCTACGAGCACAGCAAGACGCTCCACAACGCCAAGGCCATCCAGGACTTCCGATCACGCAGGGACGCCGACGTTACACTCACCCTCAACAAGGCCAGTCAGTTATACATTTATTTTGAATTTTGAATTATTTATTTATATTTTAAAGGGATTGGTCAGTCAGTTCGTTGGGTCCCATGAAAGCTACGTCAGCAGTTAACGGGGGACAATATGATCAACTTAACGAAATGCTTAAATTGGTCAGGTTTGAGACTATTGAAGTGTAAATAGATGAACCCTGGACCCATATTGAGAATGAACTAAATATCTACGGGTGTTTTGGCTTTAGCCCCAAATATAACTTGAAATATATTGATATTGTCTCATCAAATACTGCATGTTTTTTTTACTTCATGACCATAGTTCATCCCAAGTTATTCTTGAATAAGATCGGAGAATGATTAGAACAAAATCCAAGCAATCATTATAACCACAGATAAACGAAATCCTCCCCTACTTGTGCATAATAAACAATCTTCTCTGAATTGCTAGCTATAAGCTTGACAGAAATGTTTTCTTCCATCCTCATTCATTGTGTCTCCAAACAAATGGGATTCAGTCTTACAACTTACAACTGGTCGATGAAATTAAAGAAGATACCACATGCAAACAAAGTCCTATTTTAATACAAGCTTTTAGAAGAGAAGATGAAAAGAACCAAAGATAGATCCCCATATGGATCTTATATTAACCAAGCTCTCATTATTCTTGCTGCGGCTGCCAATGCAGGTATTGATTAGAAAAGAGGCACAAACAAAAGATGCAAAGCCTGCAATAAGCAAGAAAATCACTAGTCATCAGAAATCTCCTCTTGGTAGATATCCACTAGTAAATCAGATGACTTGAAGCTATTAGAGACACATATACTCTATGTGCAGTCAAGTTGATGTGGCATTCACAAAAACACAAACAATATCTGTAGATTGATTCAAATCATCGACCGTAATGAGCATAGTCACTTGGCAAATTAGAGGTGTAGGTTGTGAAGATGACGATGTCCTCGTTCGTTGATCCACTATAATTCATGGCCGGTTAATTTTGTGATTTACAAAGTTTTAAAGACAACTTAAACCTCAGCAAAAAAACAGAAAAACAAAAACAAAAACAAAACAGGAGGGCATGGAAAGTGCAAAAAAGTTACACCAATGGGCATCAGATTGGCCTATGGTTCCAGTTTGTAGCAACAAAAGCATCACCTCATCATATTAGGCAATCGAGCTGTCCGGGATACAGTTCTTTATTTCATGCTACTGAGGAATACACTGGTGAGGGCAGAGTCACAAAGAAAAGAGGTCACCAAAAGACGAAGGGCCTGCAGCAAGTAACAATCCAAGAGACAACAGTTAAACTACAAAGAATATGCACGTGATGAAGCTTCAAAACTAGAAGAAACACAGACAATGCATGAGCAGTCAAATTAAAGCAGTGGCAGAGAAAATTAGGTGCGTACAATGCAAGTGTAAGGGACTGAAAATCATCAACTATAATAAGTTGCTACAAAGTTAAATTACAAAAAATAACTAACCTCCTCCTTCCCAACCTGCACAGTTTGCATCTCAATGTCTGCGAATGGCACTTTCAATTCGTTCAAAACAGAAACGCCCAAGAGAGGAGATATAGGCCTTATCATAAGACTGTCAGTTATTGTAAACATTGCCGGTCTACTCAAAAATCCTGCATCACTTTTGTAATCGCCTTGGGATTTGCAATACTTCAGTTTCATTGGAACTGGCGTCGTGAGATAAGAAGGGATAAGGGTTTTATCAGTAGTAAACCTTTCCTGGTCACCATCACTAGGTGACCAGTATTGTGCATAATAATATGAGGCTTCCGGGCCATCCTCAATTCCTAAAAGATGGTTCTCATAGACAAAACCAGGATAAAGCTTCGGATAGAGTAGAATTTCCTTGTGGTAATTTGACTTTAAGTATTGCTCATCAAGATCTTGGACACTCTTGTACAACTGATCAATGCAGCCTTTCGTAGAGGAAGAGCTATCCTGCATCTCTTTTAGCATGAACCCAAGTGGAACAGTTAGGAAACTGAAGAGTAAATTAACAAAATCCTCCCCTGCTTCTGCATAACAAACCATTTTCTTGGATTTGCTGACCATAAGATTGATAGAAATGTTTTTTTCCTCCTTCACCGTGTCTCCTGTCGTTTGACGCTTAAAGCATATTCCTTGCTGAACACCTTTACTGTTCAGATTTGGTTCTGGTTTATGCTTCAGCAGAATATCTGTCAAAGGTGTCTTAGACACAAATGAGCATATAAGCAAATTCAAAACCTGGAACAAAAAGATTAGGTCAGAACCAAATGCGACAAAAGGAAAAAATTGGCATAAAAAGAAACCAGTTCAATTACCTCATCAAATCCTACATTCAAAGTCATCTCGTCAGTGCTGTTTGCATCCATCACACCAACCTTAGTAAGGAAAGAAGAGACTGCTGAGTTTACTGGGGGCATCACTTCTAAATCATCACTTATTATAAATCTGGTTAGTCCTTTACAAAAGACACCGCCATTCGAAAGAGAGGAGCTTTTTAACTTTCCCACTGAAAGAGACATCTCACGATTCATGGGTTCTCCACACTCACAGAGAACATCTTTGTAATGACTGAATAATTTATATCTTCTGGTGCAACCCTTGGAGCACAAAAAGTACCGTGTGGGATCACCATTGTTAATTTTCAACTTGAGATTCTCGCAATGGGATTGAACCCCGTTGCGGGGACGTAGCAACATCTCTCGACATTCTTCAGTCTGGAAAAGACGTTTATCAGCATTCTCAACACTTGCATACAGATTTTTGATGCAACCTATTTCCAGTGGTACCGAATGTTTACACGCAAGCCTGATAATTGTTCCCATTGGGATTGCCAAGAAACTGAAGAGAACATCAACAAAATCATTATCAGACTCTATGAAGATAACTTTGTTACTCCTCTTTTCCACCAAGGCCTTCAAGCTGATAGCCATAGATTGCAAGATATGGCTTCGTTATCGTTTCTTTGTACAAATTCACCAACCAAAACTAGCACAAACCGTGGTTGGATGAAAACTTCTGATTAATATCAAAGCCTGTGTGTGTAGTCCGCCCTGATGGAAAGTTGTTAACCTGCTCAAATATGAAAGGAACTTCAAAATAGTAATCAACTACCTGCAAAGAGAGATATGGCCAATCATTTTGAAGATATTTCATGGGAGTTACATAGTTTTTATCAGACTAGGAAGCTTCAATAATAAAAAAGAACTCAAAATTAATGAATCCCAGAGATTGACACATTGATACCAAGCAGATTACTCATTTGAGTCCAAGCAACTCAAAATTAATGGGCAAAAAAAAGATCAAACCTTTTTCTGTAAAACTGCCGAGCCGAAGTAATGGATGAAGGTAATGCAAACGCAAAGACTTATAAAGAAAGAGTCAGCTGAAAGTTGAAAGCTTCTGTAGTAGAACTTGTAGAAGAAGATGAGTGAGGAGAGATAGTAAAGTGAGTCAGGGTGCAGGGGTGCATATTTTGACCCACCATTTAGCTTTCCAAAAGGGAAGCATTAATTCGACCAAAAAAAAGAGGGAAGCATTAATCTCATTACTTAACTAGGAAGAAATTTATGCCAATGGGGTCCTACGGTAGTGGAAGTGGTGTTTGGCCCCTCCACTACCACTAGGTGTCCCTAAGTTTGAAGGGTGTGATTAATCCCCGCTCGGGGTTCGGCTTGCCCTTGGCCACAAAGTGCTTCCAGCTGGTTTCCAACTCCTGCCATTGAGGCACTAGGTAGATTGCCAACTGGAGGTGGACATTTGCCAACCACACTACACCTTGTGGTTGCATGAATTATTTTTTTATGTTTCGAGTACACTATCTATTTTGGTGTATCATAAAATACAAATGGGACATAGCTCCCTAAAAATATTTTATTTTTATGAAATATTTCCATATATCATATGTGTATTGGATGGTACACCATACAGTCGGGGCGGAGCCATAGCAAGGCCTGCCATGGCCTTGGGCCCCATTTAATTTTCAATCTATTGTAATATATTATAAAATATATGATATAGCAATACAATTACTGCAATTAGATTAGTATTGACCCTCTTAGTAGAAGATGAAAAACCTATGTGGAAGTAACTTTGAAATTTTGGCCCCTCCATGCTAAGAATCCTAGCTCCGTCACTGCCAAACAACTGGTGTACCTGAACATAAAAAAATTTCTCCTCCCCCTCCCCCTTTCTAACTATGATAAAAAAAAATAAAAAAAAATAACTACGAAGAAATCTATGGCCCCACTATGACATGAAGATTCTAATCGTTGGAATTAAATATAGAATTATGACCTTTTTTTTTTTTATTCGATCGATATTCTATTCTAAGGGGAGGGAGAGGGGGAATTCCATTCTAAGGGGAGGGGGCACCCACAATAGAATTCGAATTGAGGCCATGTGGTTTGCAAACAAAGACCTCAACCACTGAGGTAAACACCCACTGGCAAATATAGAATTATGACTTTAAACTTCAGCTAATGAGGTGTTAATAGAATCTCCAAAGGACTTTTTTTTTTGTTGAAAAAAAATCCAAAGGAGACTTTTTTTTTTGAGTTACAACGATATGCTAATTCTAAGGGGGAGGAGGATGTGGTGATGCTCGAACCCAGGACCCCCTGGGTGGTAAGGGTAGTTCCCAACCAACTGGGCTAACACCTTACCAGCCTAAACCCCTTGGCTTCTACTGTTAAAAAGATCTTGGTCTGTGGTGTGCTGTGTATGGTATTTGGATAGTGATTTCATCCCCATACATATCATCCTTAAAGAACTCGTAGTTTTTTACAACTTCACATCTCCTCTTTCTTTCTTTTTTCTTTATAGAAAGACAAACAATATGGTGTAGAATATTTTTTTTAATATATTTTCATTCTCCAAAAGGAGATATTTACAATACGAGTGTGTGAAAACTCTGAAATGTGAAAACTGTTTTTGCTGATATGAGAGACTAGAAACAACTTACTTGCCAAAGAGCCAAGGACTTACTTGTGGGCTGTCAAAATAGAGAGCATTGCTTGTGGATTAAGTTTCACCACACCAAATTGGAGCTTTTACGACTTGATATTTAGGGCATGTTTTTTGTGTGTGTCGTTAATAACTGATATTTACGACATATGACAGATAACGCCTTAAAAAGATAGTAAAGCGTGCTGTTAATAACTTATATTTACGGCATATGAAAACACGCCTTAAAAGGGTAATTTTTGTGTCTTTTAACGGCGTGATTGTAAATATGCAGTGAATGCAAATTATATATATTATAGCGTGTGACTGAGTATGCCGTAATTTGTAATTCTTTTTTTTTTTTGCCAAAACGCCTCAATGTATTTGCAATTCACTAAAAATATAATATAAGATTTTTGTTTAAAAATTTCCCTCGTTTTATTTTTCATTCAGACGAACATTCAAGCAAAGCTGAAAGACTATTGCTCCACTTCTCTCTCCATCTCCCTCTCTCACAATTTCTAGATTCTCTCTCATAGTTAATCAGGAGCTCCAGTTCCCCGTTTGCTAGAAGACTATTCACGATGTGCTTTGTGCGCCGTAATAGATGTGTTCTGGTGTAGTGTTTATAGATGATGAATCTTTAAAGAAAAAAAAAAAACAAAGGGAAAGTGGAGTAGGACATTTTAGATTTAGCTTTTCAATTAAAGCTAAGTATTCAATGTAGGATGCATAATTAGGAAGAAATCTAGGGGCACTATTACTTACTTAGCTTGAATTGAAAAGCTAAAGCCAAAGTTACTTATGCATTATTGAAAAGCTAAAGCCAATCCCACTGTGACCTGCATAGTGCAGCTAATGAGGGGTTGATAAAAAAAAGGAGATATCAAGGGGAAGAGCTTTGAGTTGAGTGGATGGCCCCCCCATGGCCTTTTTCTTCATGGCTGGGGTGGGGCCTTGAGATCTTATATGCATCTGATCTCCATGCTGGGAGAAAAACTTGGATGCCAAGGTAAGCTTTTCTTTTTTTTTTTTTTTTGATGAAAACAGGGGGGTGAAAACCCCAAAAGACAAAAACTACAGAACAGAAATCAAGCGGGCTGTAGAAGCCCCTGCGGCGTCATCAAGCAACAGAGGACCCAGCCAAACAGGACTGTCGTCAAAAAACCAGAAACCAAGATCCATATTGTGACTCCAAGCAGCCAGACGATCAGCGACGGAGTTCCTCTCCCTATAAATATGATTCAGCCTAATCCTTCCAATTTGATTCATTAGTCCCTTGCAGTTTCTAACCAAACCCCCAGTAGGATGGCAACTGTCGATCTCAGTCTTGTGCATAAGCATCACAGCAGTAGCTGAGTCCATCTCAACAATAACATCAGTTAAATGTTTTTCAACAGCTAATTTCAAACCAAAGAATAAGCCCCATAACTCAGCTTCAAGGATTTGCCCTTGCCCCAAATTTGCAGAGTAGCCAGCAACCCAGTGACCAGCATGATCTCTGATGACGCCACCAGCACCAATGCCACCGGTGTTGCCTTTACGTGAACCATCCACGTTTAGCTTGAGAACCCCAATATCTGGGGGAATCCAAGCTAGCATAATTTGAACTCTGCCAGCTCCAGGAAGGGAATTAGTTGTAGCCTTAACCCAATCTCTAGCCGCATTAATGATCAACTCACGAGCATTGAAAGGCAAGTCTGCTGCATTGTTAAAGATAAAATCATGCCAAGGTAAGCTTTTCACGTCAGGCAAAAAGAATATAAAGAAGGGCTAGACAAAACACACCTTAATCTTTGGGTTCATTTTGAGCTCTAGAGTTTCAATTTCATCAATTTACACCTCAGTATTTTCAAACCACACCATTTTCTTTTTATCGGGACAAACCACACCAATTTAGAGTCTAGTTTTCCTGTTTCCTTTTTCCCTGTGCCCACCCTATTTCCCCCTTGTTCTTCTGACACCTGTCATCTCTAACATCAAACATAATGTTGTTAACTTTGAATAAAATGAAAAATAAAAATCCAAAAACCTAGCAGCAACCGAAGCAAAACTCTAACAACCGAAATGTACATGTCTCATTCCACTTGACCTCTTGTTCCCTTGTGCAAAATATACTGCTGCAGAATTATCATTCCATAACTGAATTGGTCTTTGTATTGAATCTACAACTCTTAACATGGACATGAAATTCTTAAGCCACATTGCCATTGAAGTGGCTTCATAAACTGCCAGAAATTCTGCTTGCATCGTGGAGGTGGACACATACTGTTGTTTCACACTTCTCCATGCCACTGCAGCTCCTGCAAATAGAAAAACCACACCTGATGTACTTTTCTTAGTATCCAAGCACCCTGCAAAGTCTGCATCTGCATATCCTTCTAGCTGCAGATTTTCAACTCTTTTATAAACCAATTTGTATTCTTTAGTTCTTTGTAAGTACCTTAGTACCTTTTTCCCTGCAATCCAATGTGCTTGGCCTGGATTAGACTGAAATCTGCCAAGAACACTAATGCAGAATGCCAAGTCTGGTCTAGTGCAGACTTGTGCGTACATAAGGCTTCCTACCAATGAAGCATAAGGCTTGTCCTTCATCTCTAGTCTCTCTTGCTCAGTTTTAGGAGATTGCTCACTGCTTAACTTATCACCTTTTGAGAAGGGTACATCGCATCCGGTACAATTGTCCATATTGAATCTCTTAAGCACTTTTTCAATGTAAGCTTTTTGGCACAAACCTATCATCTTTCTTTCTCTATCCCTGCTGATTTCAATTCCCAAAACATAATTTGCTTCCCCTAGATCACTCATATCGAAATGATTTGATAGCATTCTTTTGGTGTCATGCAACATGGACAAATTGCTGCTAGCTAAAAGAATGTCATCCACATATAGCAACATGAAAATGAAATTCCTTCCATTGAATTTCATATAAATGCACTCATCTAATGGATTATCAATGAAACCTTGAGACTTGACAACTTCATCAAACTTGAGATACCATTGCCTTGATGCCTGTTTCAGGCCATAAATCGATTTTTGCAACCTGCATACCAGATTCTCATCCCCTTTTAAGGCAAAACCATCTGGCTGTTTCATATATATTTCTTCCATGAGATTTCCATTTAGGAAGGCTGTCTTTACGTCCATCTGATGAAGGTGCAAATCGAAATGTGCAACCAAAGCCATAATCACCCTGAATGAATCTTTTGTTGACACTGGAGAAAAAGTCTCATTGTAATCAACACCTTCTTCTTGTGTGTAGCCTTTTGCCACTAGTCTGGCTTTAAATCTATCTATCTTGCCTTGTGCATTTCTTTTGGTTTTGTAAACCCACTTGCATCCTATAGGTTTACAACCTTGTGGTAATTCAACTAATTTCCATACTCCATTTTTGCTCATTGATTCTAGCTCAGATTCCATAGCTGCAGACCACTGTGAACACTTGTCACTTTCCATAGCTTGTTTGAAATTTACAGGATCCTCTTCAGTGTTGATATCAAACTCAGATTCTTGTAGGTAGACAAAATAATCGTTTGACAAAGCTGATCTCTTATGCCTTTGTGATCTCCTGAGTTGTAAGTGTGGATTTTGTGCTACCTGTTCTACTTG